CGACTTCTCATGAATATAGATATTTATTTTGGTACCATTATTTGTTCTTCCCCTAATTACATTTTATTTTATTGTTTCCTTTCTATCCACTCAGTCTTCATAAGAAAGTCTTCTACACATATATCTACATATACAGTATGCTGCGCAAGAGTCTGTTCCTTCTTAATTCCATGGACCCTATTGTCAAGTACGCCCAAAAGGGTGCTGTGGTGACATTGACGTTAAATCGTCCTAAACAGCTCAATGCCCTGAATGCGGAGTTAACAAATGCACTGGCGGAAAAGCTGCTAAAGTGTGACGCTGATCCATCGGTCTCTGTTGTGATCATCACTGGTGAAGGCCGATCCTTTGTTGCTGGCGCAGACATCAAAGCAATGGCAAACCAAACTTTTGTCGAATTTTACAAACACAACATGCTTCGAGGCCTTGATACGGTTGCAGCGGTCCGCAAACCCATTATCGCTGCGGTAAACGGTTTCGCACTCGGTGGCGGCTGTGAGTTGGCGATGTCTTGCGACATTGTTGTTGCCAGCGAAAAGGCCATCTTTGGGCAACCCGAGATCAGAATTGGAACAATTCCGGGCGCGGGTGGGACGCAGCGACTCACACGACTCATTGGTAAGAGCAAAGCAATGGAATGGATTCTTACAGGTGAGCAATACACGGCCGAGGAGGCTGAACGCGCCGGGTTGGTTTCACGCGTCGTTAGGCATGAGGAACTTATTCCAACGGTCAGTGCAATGGCAGAAAAAATCGCCCTGAACAGCCCATTAGCTGTTTCTTTGGCCAAAGACTGCATCAACAAGGCATTGGAGACAACGCTGGCGCAAGGTATGGCCTATGAGCAGCGCACCTTTCAAGCCACCTTTGCCACGGATGATCAGAAGGAGGGCATGGCTGCGTTTGTGGAGAAGCGCAAGCCGAATTTTAGGAATGCGTGAACCAGACACCAAGTGCCGTGTATACAATAGCGAGTGAAGAGGAGGGGAAATGTTTGGGAGTTGCAAGCGATGCGAATGTAACGTGCCTTTTTCTTTTTTTTTTTTTTTTTTGTTCTTTCTGTGTGCCGTCAATCTTGTATGCTGAGTGTTGATTGGTTGGGTCTTTTTTTGGCGGAAGAGGCAAAGGGCGGAGTGGGAAGGTATCCGAGGGGCAACAATCTCTCTGGCTCTGCGTAATAACTTTTATTTTTTTTCATTCTTATTTGATATTTTGTTTGTTTGCTTTTGTACATCTCTACACGCACAGTTGAGGAGAAAAAAAAAAAAAAAGATATTTTTACACACGCGGAATAAATACGAACAAAACGAAAAGACTAACAAGGGATAAAGGAGCACTGTAGTGCAATGACACCACCTTTTAATATCACCGACGAGGCATGTGCGCATTGCTGGGATGAGTCAGTAATGTTGGTTCCAAACCATCGGTCGGCAGTGCACAAAGAGGAGTGCGCGTACTGCTGTCGAACATGTCGACATGAAATGGGCACGCTAGTTTGCATGTGTTGCCACATGGGACTTTGTGTGGAACACGTGCAGAAGCACAC